CAATACCTCGAACTCATTTGTATTGGCATTATACAAACAGGGTTTTGTCGAACACTTCTTAAAACTGACACACTCGGAGGAGTGAATTTCTAAAGAAGAATTCTAATCTTGAATAACTCCATCTCCTTAGGTATTGAAGAAGACATTGAACTCATTATCGTGAATTGAAGAAAATCATTATGAAAAACTTCTTTTACGAGAGCTAAAGAGATACTTCCTTTAACGCACCCATTAATTCGTCCATTAACGAGTCCATCAAAACTGCTACAGGATGGCTGAAGATTGGTGTCCATTAATTCATCAATTAACGCATCATAAAACCGCTGCACCAGAACCGAAGATATGTGTCAATTTAATGTGTCCATCAATTCATCCATCAACGCGTCCATCAAAATTGCTGTGCGAGAGCTAAAGAACGTGAATTGATAATTACTATACTACTTATTTTTAACATAGAATTGATATTTGCACAACGGGATGCTTCTTTAGGAGAAATATCTAAAAAATCGTAAATTTAATGTACGAATATCAATTTCATTCTAAATTTTTAATTTGATTAAATATAATTTTAGACTTTTTGATGATTTTACGATGAATTTCATCCTACTCATTTAGATCGAAAAATTTTGATGTGGAGGTCTAGAAAAGGCCAATATGCATGTACGTGGTCCTAATTACTCCTTGCCGTTCCGTCGACTGCAACCCCAATAATGAAGTACGTCACAGGACACGTATCATTCATTAATGGGATGAACGTCTAGGTCTAGTTTCATGTACATGTAACCGTCGTATTGTTTTTTTTTTTAAATATTTTTAAGTGGTTTTCTTATACTGTATTTTTTTTACGACACACACGGGGCCCAATCCGGAAGAATTGGAGCAAGAACAGCTGGAACTCACTTTGCAAAGGGGCGGCACTAGTCCAAAGATATTTAGGGTTCTGGAACTGACAGCGACGATGACGGGTGAAAGAAGCCTCCGGGGTCCTCTCATAATTGTACTAGTCTGTGTGCTCTAAGTCATGAAATTGAAGCCTCTGGGTGCTCTCGTAATTGTGTACTATTTGCTCAACCCGCCTCTGGGTGCTCGTGAACCATGAGTGGATGTTTCAATGCACATCACATGTGAAGTATTGAATGCATTTAATATTTTCTCGTGAGTGCTCTCATAATTGTGTACTATTTGCTCGACCCAACTGGGTCTTTTCTTATTGGACTTCGAGCAAAGTGCACATGGGATGAAGGGAAAAACATAGCTTTTTTTTTTTGCTAAAAAGGGGAAAAACATAGCTGTTAATCAATTAATCTGCCTCTCTAATGGGGCATAATGCCAGCAATCTTTTGCAGAGACTTTCGTACTCTTGAGTGGTTTGAAAATTTGATAACCTCTGTCGAGCTTCTCTGAGTCTAGACATGGCCATGGACCGATTTCGGCTAAGAACCGGCCCGGTTAAATTCGGGCCTGACCCGTTGACCAGGCCCGCGGTTCGGAATCGGAATCGGCCCGTGGCCTAGAGGCCCGGTTCCAGTTTCAAATTATTTAAAAAAAAATTTATTATTATTATTTTTTTTATAAAACAATTTGAATTCTAATTGCCATGCATTGTAAGTGCATTGATCTCTAATTACAATGCTTGGCTTGGGTGTATTGAACTCTAATTACAAGGATTGGCTTGGATTTTATACACAATGATTATAATGCCTCTTCATTCTCATTCGATGTGAGACTCTCGGCTTGCCTTGAACACCTTCAATGTGAGACTCTTAGCTTGTCTTCATGTAAATGTCAAGAGTCACACATCGAATGGGAATGAAGAGACCCTCAAAGGGGTTCGCAACAATTTATCATCTTATTTTAAGTTCACGCATTGCACGCCAAAGCGGACTATACCAATTGACTAAGACCGATGATTACTTTGAACGAAGTATTCAAAACTTTACAACAAATTCGAATTTTTTAAGTTCTTTGAAAGAACATAAACACAAATCTGCTACCATTCAGATAAATTTTAAATTTTTTCTTTTTGACTTGATCAGATATGTACAACCCCACAAATCCAAGGTTGTATTTCCTAGAAATGAACCAACGACCCACCTTCGTAGAATTATACATAGCGTTCAATGGATGACTCTATATTTAAATAACCTTATAAGCAGCCATTGTTGACTTTACTATTTGGCTTTGCAAAAGGACATCAAGATGATAGAGAGGAGGAAATAAGAAATTAGACAATAATTATATATTATATCATCCTAGTTTTTCGACCAAAAAAAAATCATTATAGATAACTAGAATACATAAAGTCACGCAAACTCGACATTTTTTCGTGGATTTAATTCTTGAGATAACAGGTTATCAGTTGAAGGTATAATTTTATTAAATTAGTATAAATTGTTTATGCACATGATTAGTTGAGCCGGATAGACTGCGAGTTGCAAGCTAGTTCCACACCTAATAATGAGTTGAAAATCCCTTCGATACTGATGGGCGCCATGCGATGGTCATGTCAGTGCGAGCATCTTTCTCAGAAAAATAAGAGACTTTTTTCTGATCTGGTCTGGTCTAGGGAAGAAACAAGTTCCAGAGCCTATTGAACTTTGATAATTGAACCGGTATCAACATGGGTCACACACATTTTTCTCAGAAAAATGTCGTGATCGTAGCTGAAATTTCCATTGCGGCACTTTACTGGCGAACGCGGAGGGGATTCTTTTGTTGACCATATTGGGGAGCTGCATTCTCCGCGAAACCAAGGTTAACCAACTCTTTAACTGTTAATGTTCTCATGGGTTCTTGTGCAAGCTTGTTTTATTTTCCCTGGGTGGTTTTTTTTTTTTTCTAATTGGAAAAAGTGAATATGGAGTATATGTATATGTACTGGATCTTTGTCATTTGACCGAGCAAACTCAATTCGACTAAGATGGGGCTCCATGGTGGCTAAGTGGTCCGGTTTCTAAGAATTGTCAAAGCCCAGTCCACCCAACAAAAATACAGAAAATAAAATTGAGGACCTGAATTTCATGACACGTACAAAGATATTCAAAGCTAGAGGATAGGGGTCCAAATAGAGTGATATTGTCTATTAAATGCGCCCTGCCTCGAGTAGACTACTCAAAATTCATGTGCAGGCCCATTCGTTGGAGAGAATGGACATGTAAATTGGGCCTGTCGAGCCGCCAAGCGTATTCTTTGAACCTATGATCCAGATTATGGGCCATTGGCTCTTTATTACCTACGGACGAAGCATGTCGGTAGACGAAATAACATCGATTCATCTACTTTACAACCTTATAAGCGCACACAACCGACGTCAGATATAGAAACCAAGCCACAAACAGCGTAGAAATCAGCACGGACAACTCTTGAACACACTTGGTATTGTTACCTATAACAGAGCACGGCATTAAGCTAAAAGACATTCCATGCACTGTAGAATCTTATGCATCCGTACCAAGCCACAAGCGGTGTACTAATCAGTACATACATAACTTTTAAAAGTATATATTTCCACGCCGTGGACTCAATTGCATAAACTTTTATCTACACATGATGTACACCAAGCAAAGCCTCATTCATTTGAGCCGATGTATGAATCAATCATGTCGTACTGTTTTTTTGGGCTGATGACTCGGTCAACAAATTTAAAGAATTTTCAAATGTCAACAGAAAGATTGTTCCTGGTGAGGATGTTGATGTTCGATTCACAAGGAGTTGACTTTCGCGGCCGTCTTAAAGCCAAATGCTGAAAGCAAACCACAATTATGAAGCCCGGATTTGTTCTGGAGTGACTATGAAAAGCAGGCTTTATGAAGCAACAGCCGAAGAAAATGCAACTTCTTTGCTGGATTTGCTCAAGGACGCTCCACTAATTCTTGATAGATTTATCGTGGGGTTTTACGATGAGACTCTATTACATATAGCGGCAATGTCTGGACATGTGAAATTCGTTGACGAGATTTTGGAAATGTGATTCAACTGGGCTGATTTGACCCTTTTAAATCTCTAGGTCATGTAGAATGAGGTTGCCGTGGTGTTCAAGAGCGAGCAAGATGCCCACAATTTGTATTATCAAATATTGGACTTGGTGTTTCATTTTATCAAACTTAATTTTGGTTCATGTTGGATCGTAAACCGAAGAGATTATGCTTTTAACATTCATATGCTGAATCAAGAATCTAAATTTGATTGGAGCCTGGAGGTGACCAAGAAATGAAATTCAAGAGCATGTAATGGTCCTCTGTTTATCAAGTCACCACCAGTACATGCGTTTTCATTGGAAAAAAATTAATAAGGAATGTAAGAAATAATGAAATTAGTATGAACAGTTAGTAAAAGAGTTCATGTAAAAAATTTTCGATCTAGTTTCACAAGGTTAGGCTCACCACAAGAGATCACCACTTCTATTTCAAAATGTAAACAAGCTCACCAAAAACTCTGAAGACGCGTGTCAGCTTCTCCTTTCTTGAAGACAATCTAATTGCGCATGGAAGGAGACAACTGATCCATGTCCCGATAACCACTCGCTAGTTTTGAGTCACCTTGCGAAAATATGTGGGAAAATTCACAGGAAAATAGAATTTTATCTTGAGAAATTGGTCTTGAGTGTCTTCCGAAAAGCAGAGTATGTAACCTTGCGTTGCCCGTGGCATAGGCTCACAGAAACAATGAAGGTTAGTCGTACGCTGAAGAATGTGTATATTTACTAAACATGTTGTATTAGCTTAGATTTCTGCTTGCTTCAGTGCTTGTTCGAGTTTGCCGTACTGTTCTTATCATGACCTTGGTGGTTGAGGCTCAGCCTTGACCGAGCTTGAACCTTCGTCCATCCTTGATCTTAAACTTGCGCCCATTTTAGTTGTTCGCCTTTCCTGAAGTCGAACCTCTGCCCACTTTCCTGAACTCAAAGTTGTGCTGCTTCGTGAACTTGAAGCGATGCCCCTTCCTGGACTTGATGGCTCACCCTTTCCTAAAGTAGAAGCTGCGTCCCTACTCGACCTCGAAGCTCTGCTGTTTCTTGAACTTGAAGCTATGCCCAATGCTCTGCCTCTTTCTATAGGATCCCTTCCAGGGTTTCAAGCACATCTGGTCCCACTTCCTCCGCCTGTTTTTGCAAATAATCGTCAAAGTTCTATCCCTCTTCACCTGGACCACGTTGCAATTCCACATAAGCTTTAAGGACTGCACAATTAAGACAATGCAAATCTCTAGTACTTACGGAAGAAAGGTCACTTTGATCCTCAACTTCACTCGTAGCTTTGCATGATCTCTCATCATGTTCCACTCCCTCGCACCTTTGGCAACTCGACCGGACAACATCATATTGGTCGGCAAATTATTGCTAAATTAGCTGGTGGATGATTAGCTCTAAATTAAATTGCACAAACATTCTAATAGAATTATTAGAGAAAGAGGCAAAACAAACATAAGTTTTACTCGGGAGGCCAACAACAACACAGCTATTACTTGATACCATGAACCAACTGCACCTTGTGCCTCATCGTTTTCCTGTATGGCGACACGTGGTAGAATCTAATGAGTCTTGTTTTTTTTTTTTTTGTACAGCTATGATCAAATCATTTGATATTAATTTCTCCATGGCTCAAATGCAATAATCGAATCAAATAATCCATAATTACTATCATTAAATGTATTATAATATTTATGTACTAATTATGCCTATTGCCAAATAATTAAAAAAAAACGGTAGAGAAAGACATCATATGATGTTGAAATCTAGAATATGTAATCTATCATCTAATTTCTTATCTATGAAAGTAATTTTTATGAATTATTATTTAAAGAATGATTAAATGATTTTTGGCGCCGTGGTGGTGGGTCCTGCGCTAGCGTCACCCCAGGTTTACCCTTCCGGCTGTCGGCCGTGCGGGGGGTTCCTGGGTCATAAAAAAAAATGATTTTACTGGCAATATTAAAATATCAAAACTATCCAACACCAAAAACGCAAGTAGAGATAAGTTACTAAAAATAGAAAAAAATATGCAACCTAAGTAATTAAAGTACAACAGAAAATGGGAACCTCAAAAGAGATAAATGACTAATGCACGGAAAAACAATCAGCCGCGTAAGAAATTACAGTGCAACAAAAATGGCTGCTTTTTTTTTTGTCTGTCCTAATCTAACTTTCAACTCATTCTCAGACTTTTGCCCTGCCTCTTTGCAGAGCGTGGAAGTCGAAATCCACTTCTGAAACTAATCGTTCCCATCCCTAGCCCCTTGAAAATGTGGGGAATCGAACTCCCTATCTTCCCTTTCCCAAGTAGGAAGGAGGCTACTGGAACAAACCCAGTGGTTAACAAAAATGGCTACTTTAAAAGGGCCGATATTTGGCCAAAAACAAGAGGCAAAGCTTCCTCAAATTTATAAGACTTTCTTCTAAGTTTTATTCCTTCCTTTACAAGCACTAGAGCACATATTCATATTCCACTCATTTTAATTTAACGTATTGTTTTCTTTAGATAAAAGCAAAATACAGTAATGCATATTCCAAATACAATTTTACTGTTCATTAAGAATTTTCATTTTTAACAAAGTATTTAAGTAACTATTTGGAGAAATGACACAAACAGTCCCTGAACTTTGGCCTAATATGCAATGTGGTCTTTGAACTTTTAATTTGTTCAATGTGATCCATGAACTTTAATTCAATGTGTAATGTGGTCCCCGAACTTTTAATTCTTTCAATGTCATCCCTGAACTTTTGGTAAATGTTCAATGTAGTGCTTCCATTAATTCAAGTTCAGGGACTATACTAAACATTTTGATATAGTTTAGGGACTACATTGAATAAATTAAAAGTTCAGGGATATTGAACAAATTAAAAGTTTAGGGACCGCATTGCACATTGAGTCAAACTTCAGGGACTATTTGTGTCATTATCCCTAACTATTTCTTGCTCTTCGAGGATTTTTGCATGCTTAACTAAAGATGTTAGGTCATCTATTACTGAAAGTAAGGGGTAAACGTATTATGGAAGTTCCAAATTAAACAAAGTCCTTATTTGTCTCATTAATATCTGAACTATTAACTCCTATGATCAGGCTTATATTAAACATTTGGGGTAACTACTCAAGATTCCTTGAACTTTGGCTCCCTTGCAAAGTAGCTCCACACTTTGAAAATATCATATTACTCTCACAAATTTTGGCAGTGCTACATAGTAGCAAGATTATAGATTACTTCCCAAACTTTCATTTTTGTTTCAGCATTATTTGTTTCCATTTATATGGCCATTAAATGTTAACTGAAAATGGACAAACTCATTTCGAACAAAATAACATCTACTTCATGCTTTATGAAGTTAGAGCATAGAGAATGATGCATGGTTAGTAAGACTAGTTAAGAAAAGTTGGTCAAGAAAAATGAGTTGTCCATTTTAGGCAACACTTAGTGGCTGTGCTGACTGAAAAGCTAAAGGATGCAACATAAAATAATGTTTTTTTTTTTAAGGGGCGAAGGTGGGTGGCAACCTATAACTTTTCAAAGTTTACGGGCTATTGCACAACAGTGCTAAAGTTCGAGAGGGCATATTAATACATCAAAATAAACACATACCACAATACATAATGTCCAACACTCAATTATATAACAAGGAATTAATTTAAAATTTTACATTTTATAGCACTTTTATTTGTTTAATTATTTAATTTATACAAAACAAAATTTCAAATTGAAAAGCACACGTTGAAGGAACACTAATTATTTGATGCGATTTAAACATCGTCTTTGATAAATTGTCATCGTCGGAATGAAAAATATATTTTTGTCCATGTAAAATTTACCTTGTTACAATTCTTGTGTAGTTTTACCAAATTATAGCATCAAATTGAAATTAGAACTAACAAATTTCCAAACCCATCAATTCACGCACGTCTACTGTATATTGATGAAGAAGATGTTGCACCTTGTTTTATGTATCTAGAAGAATCTCCTCTCTGTAACGCTTCCAAGAGATTCCAAATGGGTAGCTCCGACTAGAATCTTTGATGAGGTCTCCACATCCCTGTATTTGGACGAGGCAATCATCCGGTATATTTGTGCAAGATGCATTAATCAACCTTCTCAAAGACGTGCACCCTCTGAGATTCAAGGATTTCAGAGACTCTAGCTCGTGAAGGCCCTCAACAGTAGTAAGTGCATTGCAACGTTGGATTACCAATTCCTCCAGTTTCTTCAAGAATGACAACCCACCTATTCTTCTCAGAGATTTGCACCCAATAGCGCAGAAGGATTCCAATGATTTTGAATGACCCGCAATTTGTATCTCAACTAGTTCTGGACAATCAGACACATACGCTTGCCGTAGCTTCCTCAATTCCAAAGGAATGGATAATCTCTGAAGTAGTTTACAATCGTCAATAGTTAAGTTCTCCAACTGTGGAAGTCCATCGAGTGGAATGTCTTCCACTTCACCACGATAGAACTCTAAAGTTGACAAATTTCTCAATCTCAAGTAGGAGGGAAGCAACTCTGCCCACCTGATGCTGAAGAATGGTAAATTCAATCTTAGCAGGGACGGCGGAAGGTGCACGAGGTTTTCTAGGTCTAGGCGAGACAAAGTAAGCTCTTCCAAATTAGAAAGAGAAGCCAACTCTGGAGGTGCAGGGACGTTGACCAGATGTAAATCTAACTTTTTCAGTCTAGATATACTCCCAATCCACCTTAAGTTGCATTTTATGATTAGGTTTGATTTGCCGATATCGCCAGAGCCATCACTTATTAGCAATTCAACCAAATTAGTAAGGTTCAATAGATTAGGGATTGAGAGCAATGATTCGGATTCAAGAAGTAGACAGGTCAAACTTGTGGGAAGCTCCGGCAATACTTGAATCATATGACAACCTCTTAAGTCTAGTGTTTGGAGGTGATGAAGCTTGTTGATTGTCCTTGGAATTCCGCATATATAGGTGTCCTTTAAATTTAGGATTCTTAAAGATGACAACTCTCCAATTCCAACAGGAATTTCACCTTTCATTTCAGAACGCCCAGAGAGATCTAACTCTTCAAGATTTTCCAACATGCTGATGCCACTAGGTAACTGCCAAACATGATGCACCGTAGAATATGATCCTTTTCTTGATAAATGCAATACGCGTAATGATTTCAACTCTCCAATGAAGTTGGGAAGTTCCCTTATGCTCGTGTGTGTTAAAAGAAAAGACTCAAGGTTCACTAGTCCTTTGATGGAGTTTGGAAGTATGGCAATGCCCGTATGTGATAAATTTAACTCTATCAATGAGGTTAAATTCCCAAGCGAGCCTGGAAGTTCTCTCAACCCAGAACATTCCCGCAAAGAGAAGCGCTTAAGCTTCACTAGTGATCCCACTTCCTCAGGCAAATCTATAAGATCCATGCACCCTTCAATCTCTAATACAATCAATGATTGTAGGTCTCCAATGAAGTTTTCAATTCTCTGCAAGCTATAGCAGTGTGCAAGAGTCAACCTCTCTAAACCTAAGCATTTAGAGAAGTCTGGAATTGTCGTTATGCCCAAACACCAAGTAAGAGATAGAACTTTCAAATTTTGTGCCCTCTGTAAAAACGGATGGCATGTCAAATGTAAGAACCATTGCATAATACACACTAGGATTATCATACTAGAATTGAAACATGTAATTTACCTTGATCAAGTCCCATGCTTTCGAATCATCCGTGAAGCTATTATCTTCAAGTTTGAAAACAAGAAGATGATCGAAATATATATTGTCCGCCCTAAAATCATCATGAGGAGAATGCCAAGAAATCCATCTCAACTTTGATCGGCAGTTTGCAAAGTCCCCAGCAAAAGTTCCAAAGCCTAACTTGAGGAATCTTAGGTTTTGTAACCTTTCAAACTCTTCATTTGTAATCTCTATGTAATCTTCCAGTCCATCTATCTCAAGTGCTTGAACCTTGTCCTTCCTCTGCAAGTGAAATTTTGCAATGATGTGAAAAAGTTTGTCAACTTCCAACCACTATTTTTAACAACCTGAATGGGCAGGAAAAAGATGATAAAGATCATAAATAAATAAGGAATCCTAAATCCCAGGATATGCAACTTCTATTTGAAAATGAGAAGTTTCTTACTTACCTCTTCGGTTCTTATAATTTCAAATGCCTCTTTTGCAATCCACAACCTACTTCGCTTTCCAATGTCACTTGGACTTTCTTGACGGACAATTTGCCTTCCCAGGTCTATTAGTTGACCATGCATCCATAACTTATCATCGTCTAATATCTTTATCAAGCACCTATAGGTAAGGACATCAATTGCTCTTTCGGGGTAAAATTGACAATCGGCCCACATGTAACTTGCACAAGTCTTATTCTCATTAAAAAAGAAGCATGCTATATCAAGAAAAATTTGTTGCTGATATTCGTCTAGGTCATCATAGCTAATCCTTAGCTTCTTTAGAATCTCTTCCTCAGGTACACTTCTTAACCTAACTAATGTCTCTTCCCAAAATGCTTTGTTTTTCCCATTAAGTAATGAACCCATAACTTCAATAGCCAAAGGAAGTTCTCCCGTACTTGAGACAATTTCGCTTGAAAGCCCATGATAATCATCGAAAGGAGAGTCTCTACGAAAGGCATGCCGACAAAAAAGCTGAAGTGCAACACCATAATCCATCTTTAACATCTCATACCGTAGAATTTTACCTTTAAATCCCTCAACTTGCATAGTAGTTGTGTTTCTCGTTGTAATGATTATCCTAGATCCTGAATGTAATGAATTATTTCCTATTAGTTTCTTAATGTGCTCTTTATTATCAACATCATCCAAAACCACAAGAACCTTAGTGTGGAGTGTTTCTCCAATCATCTGCATTCCTTGTTCACTATCCTTGAATTTTTCTGTAAATCCAGAACCAACAATGTCATGTAGTAATTTTTTCTGCAATTGAACCATGCCCTCCTTGGTCAATGAGCTTTCTCGAATGTCCTCAAGGAAGCTACAACACTTTCCAAAGTGGGAAGATAGTTGATTGAAGACGACCTTGGCAATAGTTGTTTTACCGATACCACCCATTCCGTAAATTCCAATGAGTCGCACGTCAGGCTGGTCGACATCTAATAACTTTTTCAATTCGTTTACTCGATCATCAAGACTAACTAAATGTTCGGGCACTAATTTTTGTTTTATCTCCAGCTTCTCCAAAACCTTGTCAACGACCAATTTGACAATCGCTGCTTGGCTGCCATATACACGAGCGCTTTCATTAGTTGACTAGATTACTGTCATACCCATGCAGGACACATGGGATTGTTAAAAAGAAATTCTAGAAAAGATTGAACTACACACGAACTATATTTAAATGCACTGAATTATTAGTATAAGCTAATTTAGTAGAATTTACTTGATATGTTTTTCATAAATGATTATAGAAATTTTTGAAGAGCATATTATTGGCTTACCCCACGGCTAAAGTTACCAAGTGGCGACTGTGTCGTGCATAAGAAAATTTTTGGCATTTATAGCAAAGCCTAGAAAAAATTTTGAGCACTTCTAATAAAAGAATCATGAACCGAAATAATGTAAACAGATGCAATTGTCATCCATTGAACACTTTGCAGTTTCGTGAAGAAAAATATAATCCCCAAACCTGTAATTATTTCCCAGCGCCAATAGAATAGCTATTGTAACAGTTGTATAGCTTAACTTATGCTTGTAACTCTTCAATGGATCTGATTATGTCAAGTATAATGGCATTTAAAGAGCCGTGTCACATGAAGGTGTGTTCAAGAATGAAAATCGAGAGACCAAACTCACATGGCGTTAACTTTGTGAATTAGGCACACAATACAAGTTTGATTCTCCGCATCATCATGTGAAAACATTTGCATCAGCACAAAGTTCTAGCACCCCCTACACCTTGTGTACCCCTCCCTCCCCCCACCCACCCATCCCCTCTCTGTGCACGTGGCCACAGCACTCGAAGGCCTCTGCACCGTTGCCGACCTCAGATCAAAGGTGGGCAGTGGCCGTCATCTCTGGCCCAGTCCAGATCAAGGTTGCCCAGCCTCGTCTCGGACCTCCTGCGAGCTCTGCAGAGCTTGAGGCCTCAAGATGGCGGCCTAGTCATGCTTTACATGTTCTCAATATGCTTTCGCTTCTATTGAATACTTAGACATGATTTTTCTTCACCTAATCCTTGTTTCCTTGTGTAACTGGTGTTTATTGAGGATGCAAAATTTTGGGTTGAAATTTTTGTCTGAGGATGCAAATTGTATAATTCGATAAGTGAGACTACAGATCGATATGGATGCAAAATATGAAGTTGTTAAAAGAAATAGGCAGGGATCTTAAAAGAGTATTACCCTTGGTCCTTTTTCACGTTCCATCCCTTGATTTCATCTATCTCTGCAAGAGCTCTTTTCCACATCTCTACTTCGTTAGGAAACTCCTTCTCGTGCTTCAAAAAGGCTTTCCTATATCGTCGAGTCTTAAGCTTAACGTCCTCAGGTTCCACGTCAAGAAAAATAGGAAGGATACTCTTTTTACCCACTGACTTAGATACGTTGTCTACTATGTGTGCAAGCTCGCGGAGGCACCATTTACTAGAGGCGTAAGTCCGAGAGAAGATGGGGATGTAGATTATGGAGTTGTTGATGACACGTAGAAGCTTCCCACCAATCACTTCGCCGACGCAAAGATCATCTTCATCCCTGAATACACGGACTCCAGCGTCTACCAAGCTATGGTAAAGAAAGTCTGTGAATCCATGACGGGTGTCGGGTCCTCTGAAACTCAGGAACACTTGGTACTCACCTCTTGCTACTCGTGTAACATCACTATTCGGTCTGGCCTCTGAGTTTGCCATGGCTGGGAAGCTTATTACTTCCGGATATCTCTCTTCCCTAAAGAGAAAAAATGGGTGCTCAGAAATGAGCTGAGATTTTGTATAAGAACTAGGCAAGCGAGTGCCAATACCTTAAAAGTCAAATTTAATTGTCCATTTCCCACCTAACGGTGTGCATTAGCAGGTAGACTCGGTCCATTTCCACCTATCGCTCTGCATTAGCTAGTGGACACGGTGAAGGTGTCCATGACTTTTTATCAAGTTCGGAGACTTTTAAAGACTCCTTGGAAGAGCAGAAAGGTCAATCTCAAGTTCTTTCCTTTTCCCCTTGGAATAAAGGCATCGGGTCCCCAAACTATTTCAAATATTCAATAAGCTCCCTCAACCTTTTTTGTGCAACTAAATTCCTAAACTGTATATTTGTTATTTGAGTTGGTCTTTCTATTATAATTATAAACGGAGATGTAACGTGGCCATTATATGCTGACATTGCACCTTATACGGAAATTTTAATATAAAAATTAGTTTTCAGAATTGAAAAAAGTAGAAATCTGGAAAAAAGCAGAAATCGTTAAGAAAAGATAAATCAAGAGGAGAAGGGTAAGCAGACTACAGTCGGGCGGCAAGAGGACGGCCCTCGCCCAAATCTGAGGTCTGCGGCCCTTGTCAATTCCACCTGCGTGTTGAAGAAGATTGAAGAGGGCGGCCATGGTGGACCTTGAGGTGGCCACGTTGCAAAGCTCAGGAACTTGGAGAGGCGCTTGTTCGCGGACAGCTTGTTGAAGAAGATCAAAGAGGACAATCTCCCGCTTCTTCAAAAGCTTCGTGAGCAAGTGAAGAGGACCGAGGTGAGCCAAGAATGCAATCGTCTAAAAGGAGACAAATGCTTTTCTCATGATTTTCGTGAAATTTTTATTACAAATTGAATTCGGCTGCTGGCAAAATAATGCAATCCAGAATGCAGTACAAAACTAGTTTTAGATGGAGACACACGTATTGCTCCGAAATGAATTTTTGTTTAAATTTTCTTTTTTTTCAATAAATTTCGTTCTTTTCCAAATATTTATTTTTTAAAATTTTGAAAATATTTTATATTATAATTACCACATCAACTGTTAACGGCCATGCCAGCATCTCCCTTTGTATTTTAAACGAAATTACCAACTCAAACCAAGGCCCTTGAAATGGGGCCGGTTTCAAGAGAGCTGATTAAACATTTTGTAACAGTTCAGTAACTCCCGATACCTTTATCCTTTTTTTTTTTGTTCATAAAATAAGGCTCATCAATCCACTTACAAAAGCCAACAGCCCGTGCAATGCATGACATTATCAATAACTATTTCAGGCATTAATATTATTTTTTAGTCATTGAAATATTTAGTCAAAAAAATGGCACCAATGAGATATTAATAACACTTCATTGATAAGAAAATTTCAAAAATCCCCATGAAATGGTGCTGGTTTCTCGAACTTCGTTGACTTTATTTCAAAATCGCTCCTGAACTTGATTACTTTGACAGAGCATCCCTTGTAATTGCCTCGTCCGCTCGTTCTCTCGCAGCCCCTCAAAACAGTTGGATACGTTTAGCATCGCCATTACCACGTGTTTTGATTTTTTTTTTATTTATTTCAATTTTTGATGGATATAAAAGGTCGTGTGTGTTTAGTAGCAAATAAGAAAAGAGGGTCAAGAGTTGTGGAATGATCCAACCGTTGACATTGTGAGCCACAGAATAAAATATGAAGTTAGCTAAACATATAGGAATTAATTTAACCAGTACAATTTTACCAAACTGAAGGAATCAACTCTTCTTTTTAGCTAACGAACGAACTCTACTTTCCAGTAGATCCTATCATTTTCATTAGTCATTTCTTTCTGCAATGTATTGAATATTAGGCGTTAAAGAGAGTCACTCGGCATTCCGACGTTTTCTGGAACGCGAATGAATTTCTCAACTTACAAAATGATATAATGTAAAATCGGCCTCGTGACCATGTCCAGGTTCGTCCAATCACCAAAAAAAAAAAAAAACTCATCCGAAATTTAATTAAACCCAAACAAAAGAAAGAAAACATCACCAAATAGTCCACACCAATTTTCCCCGCAAAGTGAACCAACCACCACCCAGAAATGCCGATAAAATCGACGCGCATTCTATCTAATTATTAAATTTTCCCGGAAAAATCCAATTTTCCCCACGAAAGCGAGAGAAACAGGAAAAGGGAAAAAAAAGAAAAAGAAAAGAAAATAGGAAAATTATATGGAGCAGCCTGATTGGCTGGTTCAAATTATTGCTCCTCCCAAACAAATGCACCATTGACGGTGTTCATAGAGATAAATTATGCCTCCACGAGCCACCTGACTCCCCGAACTATTTTGACAAAACGTTTCATAAATTCAACATAAAAATCTAGTTTATAAGACATTTTTTAAACAAGCAACCTAGTAGAAGCAGCAGCGGGAAAAATAAAAAAAAAATATGAAACTGTTATACAAATTTCAATTCAGTGCTAAACCTTTTAATTTGGTCAATTCAGTCATAAACCTTTTGACAATTTGCCAATTTAGTCATTCCGAGTAATTTTGGTAGGAAAACATTGATGTTGACACCGACCATGCCATGTAAATTACCAAAAAATTCCTAAACCTATTGTATGGATTTCAATTCAATCTTAAACCTTTTAATTTGGCCAATTTTGTCTTAAACCTTTTGACAATTTGTCAATGTAGTCATTCTTGCCAATTTTGGTTAGAAACTACTGACGCTGATGCCGGCCATGCCATGTAGGATGACTGGCAATAGTGTGGAAAATTTCTATAAATTTTTAATTTTTTTAACTTTTTTTATTCTTTTGTAATTTATTCTTTTATCCTGTTTTTTTTTAACTTTTTATTCTTCATTGTGGCTGACAGGGGTCACCGTAGGCGTGGGGTAGGGCAAGGGCTTGCAGGCCCTCACCTAGGGGCTGGAGAGGGTCGCCGGCCACAATGAGAAAAAATAGAAAAGAAAAAAAGAAAGGAAAAAGAAAAGAAAAAAATATTTTAAAAAATAAAAAAATTGTCCACGTTAGCGCTAGCATCCATATCAGCGATTTCTGATCAAAAGTGACAGGAAGAACAACATTGACAAATTGTCAAAAGGTTTGCCAAATTAAAAGGTTTAAGACTGAAATGGCATCCGTAGAATAGGTGTAAGGCTTTTTTGATAATTATCCCCGTAATGCTATTAAATAATTATTATCGATAATAATAATAATGATAATAATAATTGACCAATTCTTTGTGTTGTTCTCTGGGTCTCACAGAAGTTGTTTTCTTGCAAGCTCAATCCCCTTTCTTTTTTAACCGAGGAAGTTGATTCTTGCAAGAAGCTTGCCCCTCCATCGCGACCCGACTTAATGATATTTGGGAGTTTGTTTTGAGTTTTCAATACACACTTAAATGGCTGCGGGTCATACGGTGAACAAGTCAAGGTCAAGCAATGCAACGCAAGTGACACGCATGACTTGCGAACCCGCCTCTCCATTCATTTACTTCAGGAGGTTCACCTCATCCTTCACGCGTTTTTGGGGTCAGCTCTCTCCTCAACGAGTGATGTGAAGCTACACTAACACCGACACCGACATGTGATTTGTACATGTCTATGCATGAATCGGGAGTAAATGTCGAATCAATTCTTAAGAGCGCCATCATTCAAGAATGGAGCTTTTAAAGTATCAATTTGATCGATCAATCATTTAAAATTTTGACATTAGTTGAGTTACATCTTTAAGCATTTCGATTTCGCGAGTTATTTGCTCCGCAATTGTCGATAGCCCAACAGAAAAGTGGAGGAGATACACAAATAATGGAGGAATGGGCCACATACTTTCATTAGGTTTGGAAAAATTGGAACGGGTACAAAATGATAAAGATGAACCACAAATTCCACAAACGAGTACTAACACCACGTGATGGATGAATAATTCCAAAAGCAGCATGGACCAGAAACGAGTGAGTATTTTACGTAGCTAATACATCAACTAACCTCAATCGGGCCTTCATATCTGATGGACGAGATCCACATGGAACCCATTATTTTCAGTGCCAAAATTCAGTTTAGTATATGTACTACACTCATGGACAATACTTTCTCATTAGCAACAATAATCCATGAGCCAGAGGATGCTAGAAAAACTCAATATAATTTATCATGATGTTTAATCCAAGTACGTTCGTATCTTCCGTATCTTTTTAGTGTTGATTAATAGCCATTAGAATCATATGGAATCTTTTTTTCATGTGGAAATGATCACGCACTGCTGTAGTCCTTAATTGGGGGACGGTTCTTAATTTGGCTACCGACATTAATGTGAGACACGGAATGAAATATGAAGTCGCTGAATTATAGGAATTGGTTTAATTTGGTGATAATTTCACCAGTAATGAAGGAATCAACACTTCTTTTTTATCCAACAAACAAGCTCCAGTTTTTTGCAATGTTAAAATATTAGGCTCTATAGAGACTCACTTGGCACTCGAATCACAACAAAACGCATCCCAACGAAATCACCATGCATTCCAGCTATTCACCGAAATTTCCTGGGAAAAATCCAAACTTTCCCGTGAAAGAGAGAAACAGGAAAAGGGCAAAACAAAAAAAAAGGATAAAAAAAAAAACAGATGTACGGAGCAGCCCCATTGGCTGGCCCTAATTATTTCTCCTCCCAAATAAATGCTCCATCAACCGTGTTCATGAAGATAACATATGCCTTGACGCGCTCTCGCGACCTCATGACTGTCAATCACTCCCTAAAATCTTCCTCTTCCTCCTCCGACTGTGTCAATGGCAGCGGCAGATCCTACTTTGTTTGATTGAAGATTGTTGTACTGACAATAGTTGAAGGCCTAATTAAACATTTTGCAATAATTGAGGGACTCCAATATCTTTACCCTTTATTTCTTGTACACATGTGATCAGGCTCATCGATCAACTTACGCAAAGTCAATAGCCTGTGCAATGCACGACATTATCAATAATTATTTTACGAATAATATTTCCTAAAACTTTGAAGCTTTAATAACTAGCCTGTAAACACTACCGAATGTCGTAGGTAAGACATCTTACATTAAAATATGTTGGCCACACAAAATATTTTGTCAAAAAATTGTGCATATGCAAAGAACCAAACCGAACAACCCTACCTCATTGTTACTTTCTGCAATCATTTAGGGTGGGTTCATCTCTCCCTTCTTCCACCGCGTATCTATGTAAGGTAGAAGGAAATAGAAAGAATGTGACATAAATAATGAGTAAATGATTAGTCTTCAATTCTCCTAGAACAGAGGAAAGGGATACAAGGAAAACAAAAAAGAATTAGAAAAAGGCCAATATGCATGTACAAGGTCCTAATTACTCCTAATCTTTTATGACTGCAACCCCAATAATAACGTACCATTACTTTATCAAGTATCGCCACTTAACACGTATAATTCATTCTATGTATATGTAATAGTCCTATAGTTTTAAAACAAAAATTAAGTGGATTTCTTATACTGTATCTTTTACAAGGCCTAGTTCAAAAAAAAGAATCAACTTCAAGTCGAGTAACAATTCTGGCCCA